TCTCTACTGGACTTGCTGTCTTGATCTTCAAAGGACGTCGGACAATCCTCTGTACTCTCTCTCCTGTCTCCTGTTGCCCCCTGCCCTCGGCCAAGGGGTGGCTTCTATACTTCTTGGGGCACAGGTTGGTTCAAGCCTTTCTTTGGCTCACTAGCTGATGGTCACCAATCCTCAAACCTGGACACAGACAGGTATTGCTTGCCATGTGCCTGCACATGATTTCAGCCAGAGGTGCCCCACATGTGGGGTCCATTCTTCCCCTGTCTCAGAAGCAGCAAGATGCAGGAGGGAGAGCGCCTACTAAAGAGGCAGGCTGGCAGATTGCCCCTCTTCCGACGACTCTTTTGGGCTTTTGTGGTTCCTCCTTCTTTAAATAGGGACTCTCCTGGGCTTGGCAAGAAGTAGAAAATTGGCTTTCAAAATCATTTTGCTCTGCTAAATGTTAGATCAGAGAGCTCCGAAAGCAATTTTCTACTGTTCGCTTTAGTAGAGAAGATCCCCAGCAAAGGACTCCTTCAGAGTCAGCTGTTGGGTTAGGCGTTTCTTTTGGAAGAAATGGCTGAGCGGCCTCCACATGACTGACGCCTCCCTTTCCGTTGGGGATCTTCTTCCCGAGCTTTGAATAGCAAGCTACAGGCCACCTTCTTTGCAGAAGGTTTGCCTAGATCCTGTCCTTCCTTGCAACACACAGAGTAACCCTACTGTTTATGGACAGATGCTGTCCTCAGATGCCTTAAACATTTCCAGTCACCCAGATGAATGGACGGTGAGAACCAGATGGATGGCCCCAACCGGGTGGTGGTTCTTAAGAGTGCTGGGTGCTGTGTGGGTAGTGCAAAAGGCCCTCTCCCCTTTCCATGAGCTTAGCCAGGACTTTTTGGCCACCAGAAAGGGTTCCTTTTCAGGGGTCTCAGAAAAAAGGGAGCTGGCATCAAATTCTCCAGCTGGCCCAGGATCACATTCCATATCTGAAGCCCCCTTGTCTTGGCCCCGTTGTTCCACCAGCACGGCACAGATCAGAAGCGGTTGGGATTTCCTTGCTGTCAAAAGATGGGGAGGATCCTGGTTCATATCAGTGGCATCTTGGCCTGGTGACAGTGCTCGGCTGTGTCACCTCCATGGGTGACGTGAGGCGAGCAGCACCTCCAGAGTGCTAGGACTGTGTTGCCAGCACCTTCCACTGTGACACTAGGTGAGGCAACTGCCTTTCCAGAAGGCCCAGACTTGTCATCCTCCAAGAAGAACAGCAAGGATTAGGAAAGGGTTGGGGTCAGCTCAGGGTGGGCCTGGGACCCCAGAGGGGGCCTGCAGAGCACCGTTGTGGGGAGGAGGTGCATCAGGGCTCAGGTCTTGTGCTGGTGGTCTGAGGGCAGCCCTTTTGCCCCAGAGCATGGCTTTGGCTGTGGGTGCAGGCAGGGACATAGGTGTGCCAAAGGCAAAAAAGTTTGAGCGGTGTCTCTCACTCCCAGTGAGGAGCACGTGTGGGAAGCCTTCTCTAGGAGCAGTTGGATAGCAGTCAAGCCCACCTTCCCTTCCAGGTGGAGACCAGCCAGGGGCCTTGGGTTGAAGAAGCGCCAGGGAAATAGAGGTGGCAAGGGGTTCCACCCACCCACCAGAGCTATCTCAGTTTTGATCCCCCTCCCACCATCTTCCCAGTAACATCCAAGATGATCTCCTCCTTCCTCTTTCTGGCCTCTGGGGCCAACACCCCCAACCCCACCTCCTAAAGGTGCTGTAGACCCTTAATATGCAGGACTCTGATGGAGACAAACAGGCCAGGAACTTGGCAGGGGAGGAGGGATGCCATGTTTGACCTGTCATTGAAAGAGAGCAAAGCACCCACAAGGAAGGGGGTTTATATCACAGAGATAAGGGGGATGCTTAAGGCAGGAGGAACATACTTAGATAACCCTTTGGCCTGTGCAGGGCTCTCCCACTGTAAACTGGAGTAGACCAAGGCCAGTGAAACATAAATCCATGGACTGGATCATCCAAATGCCCTCCTGCCCCTGTAGCTTAGAATCAATGTCTTGATGGGGGGAGGGAGCTTCTTGGCAGCCCAGGAAAGAGCTGGGAGTGGCTGGTCTGTAACCCTCCAGGTCCACTGGAGGAATGAATGATGCAGAGTTGACTGCCCCAGATATTCTCTGTTACAGGAGAAGCCGCCAGACAGTCCCAGGGGTTCCAGACAGGAAATCCCAGGCTGCAGGAAATGAGCTTGCACACTTAAGCTTGAAGGAGGAAAAAGAATCCCTCATCTTAACCAGGGGAGCAGCCCAGCATCCTATGAAATGTCCCATCGGAGACAGACTCCAACTACGAAACCAGGGCAAATTCACTGATGCTCCTCTGTGCTTCACCAAGACTATGCAGGTTCAAGTGGAAAAAAAGTAGCAGAGTTCCCTAGGACTAAACTTTGACAGTTGCAACAGAACTAGGAAATAAGAAGGATGGGAGCAAAGAGAAAGGATGGAAGGAGTGGAGCAGATAGGGGGTCCCTGTGCTGACCTTTTAAGAAGGAATCAGAGAAGGCTTGTTCATTTTACTTATGCCCTCCTGATACCCAAGGCGCCTTACAAAATATTTAAAAGACAAATGTTAAGACAATTAAAAATACAATAAAATGAAACATTGAGAAAGTAAATATATTACACATTAAAAGGACAGCATGGAAACAGTTTAAAACCACCTAGAAGCACATTAAAGAAAAGATGAAAGACACAGCACTCCACCAGCCTTTTAAAGTCCTTTGGCCTGGCGGAGGTCAAAGGCCAACAGATGCTGAAGGAGGAGGCGGGCAAGAGATGCAAGGGATAAAAGGAAGCCGCCCTGCGAGAGGGGAAACACCTGGGGGAGCAGAAAGAGGCCATTGCTGTGGGTGGGGGTGGGTGGGAGTGAGGCTGGGTGCTGCTCCCCCAGGCAGCAATTCCTCTCAAGGGGTGGGGGATCCACCATGGCAGCCAAGCCAGGCTTCATGTGAGCTTTGTCCACATGGACCCTGCGATTCCATTTGTATGGCTCCTGCTGGGAACTGCCCCCCCCAAGAGCTGCAGGAAAGAAAAGAAGGGGAGGGCTGGTGAGACACGCAGCAGGGGGAGGAGAATCTGCCCTTGAGCCAGGCTCCTTTCTCTGCCTCCGGGGCTGCTGAGCAGAGGCAGCATCACCTGCTGAGCACCATCAGTGACCTAGACAGGGAACTGACCTGGCACGATGGATGGATGGATGGATGGGGTTGTGGCGGTGGAGACCTCTCGGAGAGAGAGAGAGAGACACATGTGGGTCTCAAAGCAAGCCTTAACAGGCCTGCAAGGAAACAAGATCTGGAGGAGGCCACACTCGTGACGTCGTTGTCGTCCCCCGCCCATCCACCCCATTCCAAGGCAAACCCTCGACGGCCCTGGTGGCTTGTACCAGCCTGGCCCTTTCCCTCCTGCGAGGGAGGCAGCCTCTTGGTGTTCTGAGTGGCCGCCCCCAAGCGCCACCCCCCAACCCAAGATAACCAGCTCCCTTTGGGTGAGCCGGCCTGACAGGTGCTCATCCCACTCCCCCAACCAACAGGAAAACCCACCTGCCCACCCCCACGGTGAGCTGGCAGGGCTTTCTCCTGAGAGTGATGGGTTGCCCAGTCAGCCCCAGGGGCCCCGCTTCGGAGATTCCCTGCTGGTTTCCTCTGGGGTGCCTGCCTCCTCTAGGTCCCCTCCGCAAGGGAGCCCTGCCTGGCGCGGGAACAACAGGTGGGGCCCAGACAAGGACAAGGCTGGCTGGAGGGGGGAGGCTGGGGAGGAGGGAGCCCAGAGAGGAGCACCCGGGAACAGCCAGGTGGCCTCCGGGCTCCCTGGCGGACAGAAGTGGTTCGCCCTTCCCTTTTTCCTGGTGGTGCTGGTGCTGGTGGTGGTGGTGGTGGTGGTGGTGGTGGTGGGGAACCCTGCCCAAGGCCACCCAGGCTGGCTTTCCTTCCCAGAGGCGAGGCACACCGTTGTGGAATCCAGCTGCCAGCCTCTGGCTCTGCAGCCAGAAACACAAACCCCTGAACCATCCGGCTCAGTCAAACGTGTTTTCCATTTCCCATGAAAAGATCTCAGAAAAAAGGTCCAGTGGCTTGCTGTCCGGAAGGGTGCTCCCCATGGTGAGACCAGCCTGGGACCGAGGAGGAGGTGCCTGGGACCTTTTGTGTTCTCTGCCGCCCTGTATCTTGACACCATCCACAAGCAGCAAGGCCTCCCCCACTGATCTCAGGGTGCCGCTGGGTCTCGGCAGGAGGCGGCCACCCTTCCAGCCTTTAGGGCTCCAAAGTGCCATCACGTCCCTTCGAAGGGAGCCTGGAAGGAAATGGGCGAGCACGGGGCCCACAGGGCATGATCTCCCTCCAAAGAAGTCGGGACCAGCCCCAGTTCGAAGGCATCGGTGCCTGCATGCTAGGGAGGTGCTGGTGGCTCCCCTCCCTGCACCAGGCCAGCATGCAAGTCTGGCCTTCTGGCTTGGGTGTGCTCTTTTCAGATAAGCCAGGCAGGGCTAAGCAAACAAACACTCCTGCCTGGGATAAGCATCGGCCACTGCCTTCCGGAGAGTCCTCGTAAAACCTGACCTTGTCCTGCTTCCTTCCCCCTCTTTGGCCGTTCAGAGCCAGACAGGCTGACTTGCTGGCCCAGACAGCCTGTGCCCCGGGAGTGGTAGTGGTGGCAAGGGGGGGGGGTCTCCAAACACACAGCAGTGAAAAGAGGGCAGAACCTGCCCCAGCAAGGAGACTAGCAGAGCCCGCCAGCGGCAGGTGGGGTGTGTGTGTCCAGCTCCATTATCTCAGGGCTACGTATGTTTGCCCAAAGATTGCAGGGGAGTCAGCTCAGCCCAACAGGCTGCGAACTTTCTTGGGTCTCTCTCTCTCTCTCTTTGCGTCCAGGTGCAATGAATGATGCCTAGGGAGGCTTGAGTTTTGACAATGGGGGATGGCCTGCTTCCAAAAAAGAAAATGCCCCCTGACCTTCCTGCCTTGGGGTGGGAAGATGGTCAGGGACCCTCTTCCTGCCTCCCCCTCCTTACTGGATGCTGATAAAAAGGACAAATGCATGCATCGGAATGAAGCCAAGGTGAGGAAGAGATGCCCCCTCTGCTGCTCCCTTCCTTTGCTTAGGAACGCAGATGCCACGTACAGCCCGCCGATTGTCCTGTGTCTCCCCAGGACTGAAACAGTGTCAAAGCACAATGAGATGGGCATCAGGTCCGATCCTGCCCAGCCCATGTCATCTCCCCTACTGTCCAAATTTAGCTTGATCGCTGTTTGGGACAGCTGACGTATTCTGCTCTTTAGAAGACAGACGTGCAGAAATCAGCCTAAATCTTATTAGTGTTTAGGGTCATGGCTCCAGGACCTGTTTCCAGACAGTCAAAAGGTTCACATGCAAAGGAGGTTTCATGAGCACAGGGGGGAATTTTGGCTGGGATGTGTGTGCGCGTGCGTGCGATCATATGTACATCCTCAAATAAGGCTGTAGCAGCCTCTCTCATCACTCAGCGGTGACGACAGGAAAGATGCCAGAGAAGCTTCCCTGGGCACCTGTGGACTCAGAGAACACCAGTGGGCATTGGGCAAGGGGAAGAAACCCCACTGCCCCACGCCCTCCTCCCTGGTGCTTAAGGGTGTGTGTGTGTGCGTCTCCTTGCTTTGGCCCTTTTTTCCGAGCTTGTTTTCCTGGGTCTGGGATGATGTCTCAACGTGGGCAAAGCTGTCGGGTTTAATATACAACTTCTCATGGGGAGCCTTGGTGCACAGGTCAGTTCATGAATAATGGCCAGTGGTTGGAGTGTGTTTGGGTGGGATTAGAGCTGGGAGGACCTAGTCAAAGGTCGGCCGGAGGCAGGAAGGTGAAAAACCGACCACCACATCTTGTGAGCGTGCAGCCAGCCTTCTCTTGCATGCCTGGAATGTTTCCCTGTCCAGACC